TGCAGTCTCAGCTCCGTAGAATCAGGAATTCCAAGGAAGCAGCTGTCAAAGAACTTCAAACAATGAAGGGTGGTTTTAGCATCCAAAAAGAGCTTGCGATCTCCTTGGAAGAAGAATTGAAAACTTTGAGACAAGAGTTGGCTTCTGCCAAGGATAATACCAACTCCTCTTCCGCCGAACTTGAAGAACTTTCCACTTTATTGAGTAACGCTCAAAAACAACGTGATGAGGCTCAGAGACGTGTTAAGACCTTGGAGATTGAGGTTGAAACCTATAAGCTCGCTGGAACGGCCGGAAATGAAAATGTCAACGCATTACGAGAAGAATTGTCCAACGCCAAGCTCGAAATGGTCGCTCAGAACGAGATTCTCGTCGATCTGGAATCTCAAATGGTCATCCTGGAAAAGGAACGCGATCAAAGTGCCCAACATGTGGCTGAATTAATGGAAGCCCTTGAGAGAAAGGAAGCCAATCAGAAAGATGCTGTCAAAGAACTTGAGTCGACATTGATGAATCTAGAGTCGGAACTAGTAATGGCCAAGGATAACGAACGAATGGATAAGGAAATGATCGCAGATCTTGAAGAAAAGCTTTCCTCCGTTCGACTGCAACTAGAAGAAGCCAAAGCTTCGGACGAAAGGAGAACCAAGACTATCAATGAGCTGGAGGCGAAATTAAGGGAAACTCTTGGCGCGTTAACGGAACGGGAGAATGGAATCAACGATCAGGACAACCTTATTGTTGAATTAGAAGCGCTCATACGAAATACTCAGTTTGAATTACAATCGGCCAAGCTTTCGGAAGTTGACGCCGCAGCACGCATAAAAGAACTTGAGGATAAACTCGCCGAAGCATCAAAATTGGAACTTGACTCAACCGTCGCCGAACTTGAGGCGTCCAAAGCTGAACTTGAAAAGGTCAAAGCGTCCGAGGCGAAATTTATTCAGCAGGTCAAGAATCTTGAAGAAAAATTCCACAGTGTTCAAGAGCAACACAAGCAAGAAATTACTAAACTCGAACTGGTGAACGAGGAAGTTTATTCTCTGAGAGAACAATGTACACGTTTGCAAGCGGAAATCGATGACGCCAATCACGATTCTGTTATTCAATGCTATGAGAATATTGGTGACGACGTGATTGAAGATCTTAGCCATTGATGATATCATGTATTTCGGATTTGAGTAAATCGATGTCCGATTCAATCTTCATAATCTCCTCACTCTTGT